TGGGTGGGGCTTTGGGGAGGTGACTGATCATGGAGCGATAGTGTATAGTTAAATGTGAGCTTGGGAGGTGAAGCCTGGGTGGAGGAGGTGGCTACAGGGGCATGTCCCAGCAGGGTCATGTCCTGCCGCCTCTCTTGATCTCTCTCTGCTTCCCCCTGCTTGCTATGAGCAGCTCTCCTCTGCTCTGCCCCACTGCCATGCTGCCATGCCTTGGAGGCAGTGGACTATGGTCGAAACCTCTACAGACTGTGGGCCAAAATAAAATTCTCTTTTAAGGTCAGGGAGTCAGGTATTGCATCTCAGGGATAAGACAGTAATTAAGACACATATCCCCCCCCCCTCCCTTAAAGTGCTGGGTCAACCCAAGGGTGCACGAGTGAGGCAGGACTTCGCAATAACATCTACAAGACAGGCACTTTTTGCTGATTTAAGAAAGTAGTTTCTTGCAACACTAGCAGCAAGGAGGGCCGCACTGAGAGGGCACTCCAGTACCACAAGCACGAGGTATGAGGTGTGCACTCTCTGAAAAGTATACTAGCATTTGTGTCTAGAGCTTTAAAACACTCAGGCTCTTCAATGGAGAAATTACACTCCTAGGAATTTCCAAAGGAAATCAGAGCTATGCAAAATATTTGCACAAGAGGAGTCCACAGCAGCATTCCTCACAGGAGCGAGAAACTGGAAACCTGCCTGTTCCAAACCCGAGCGCCAGCCTGGGGCACCCAGCGTGGGGACAAGCTGTAGCACCAGTGACACAGGGGCACACTGACGAGGAATTTATACTGTTTCGCTCACAGAGGAAAAGCTCCGTGTGGGAAATATGGTGGTATCTCTTTTCTCCCTGTCTCTCCTCCCACTCAGCCACTACAAACAAAGACTACAACGAAAAGGAGGGCATGTGAAAGAAGAGACTCAAAGGCCCTCACTAGGGAAAACACCAGGCCCTTCCTCTGCCCTCCCTCCGGGACCCCAAAGGACTCCTGATCCAACAGGGTCTCCCCCCAGAACGGCAGCCAAACTTCGAGGGTTCCCGCTGAGCAGGCTGCCGCCTGAGCCTGCTCTGACCAGGGACTGTGGGGCCTCACAGTCTCCAGACCTGACTGAGCTGAGTCCACGCGGACAGGGCTTTCTGGCCAGGAGTGGGCACACCCTCAATCCACAGCAGGGCCCTGCCAGGCAGCGCTGCACACAGGAGGTGCCCAGCAGGGTGTGGGCCCTGGCCTAGCTCAGCCCCTGGGGTGCACACAGCAGAGCTGGGCCCAACAGCTTGAGAACCAAGAGGATTCTGACAGTGAACCGTGCAAGTTTGTGCTCTTTTCATGTGTTCCCTTAAAAAGAAGGGGTGCGTGCTATATTTTTTTAGTGAAAATCTAGCTCTTGACATCTTGGCCTCAGATTCTCTTATCTCACCCGAAGGCCTCAGGACCCTGTGGGCTAGCTGATGCCCCTAGCAGGGTTCGGGTCCTGTCCGCTGGCCCCTACCACACACTCTGGGTAACACCTGTCCCCCACTGCGGGGATGCCGACTGTGTCCCTCCATCTCAAACAAAGTGACCGCAAAGCAGTTTCCTGCTGGAAACTGCCAGGAGCCACAGGAGCACCCCAACCCAGCCTGTGCCTGCTGTCCTGGCCCACTGGGGAGCCCCCAGGTTCTTGGCACAGCATAGCACTCAGGTTTGACTGGAATCTGACAAAAACTCACAAGGAATGGCAGGACAGAGGTGTGGGACCGGGGCAAAAGTTCTGGTTGCTGCCAGCATGAGGGCAGCACTCCCAGGCATGAGGCCACAGCCGGCGCTAAAGCACCACAGACGGCCAGGTAGCGGGTGGGAGCTCAGTTAAGGGAGCCTAAGGCAACAGGACGCCTGGAATAAGTCAGGAAGGTTTGGTGTAGGGAGGGTCCTCTGGGCAGACTGAGAAGAAGCCAGCAGAAAGTGGGAAGGCAGCCCAGGCTCGACACTGGGCAGGCTTCTGGAATCTGAGATGACTTCAGGGAAGAGGGGTGTGGAGGGGAGGATGAGGCTGAGACCCCAAGAGGACACATGCCATCAACGAGAGACTCCCAAAGGTGTCCTGCTGTAGGGGATGTGAAATGGACCCAGAACCCCAGCCAAGATGGCCCATAAGCCACATGAGGGCCCCAAATGCCCTCTGTGGTTCCAGATGATGGGAAGCACTGGACTGCAGCAACCCCGCCGCGCTGCGCACAATTTCAGGGACACTTCCAGGTCAACTCAGACAATACCCTCACCCTATTTCTCTGATGTCATCTTCAGGGAGCACCATCCAGACCTCTGAGATGATGCAGGCGTGTAGGGTGCTGACAGAGTCTAGCTAAAGCAACTGCCAGTACTCTCACCCTCTGGCTGCTGCCTGTGGCTGCCGCCTCTCTCCAAAGCCAACCAGCTGCCTTCCTGGGTGGCCTGGAAAGGGCCTTGGCCAACAGGTAAGAAGCACTCGTAGCAGACAGGACCACAGTGCACCTGCCAGCGCTCTGCTCGCATGCCTCTTCCTCTACCAAGGCAGCACCAACAGCTGGGACATCCAAACCGCATCCAAGGAGGGCATCAGAAACCTGGCCCTCTGCATGTGCCACCTGAATGTGTGCCCAGCTCAGAGCAGCCTGGGTGGGTGACATGCTGCAAGGAGGCCAGGGGCTCCCTGGGATGGTGCCAGAAGTGTGCGTAGGCGCAGGGAAACATCTGCCCAAGCCTTGCAAAGCCCTGGGGATGTGGAGAAGGGGGAGAAGGTCCTGGCCGAAGGGTTCGCTCCACACACACAGGACCTGGGAGGGTGGGGGCAACGCAAGAAGACAGGCGGCTGAGCCTCTCGAACCGGGCAGCACTCAGCACCAGCCACCCTGCCCACGTGGGCGTGACCGTATGCCTGTAAGGTAGGTCCGAAGGGTCCCTGGGTGGATGGATGAAGCCCAGCCTGACTCCTGCAGCACAAAGGCAGCCCAGGGAGGTCTCTCTCAGCGGCCTGGGTGCAGTCCACGTGAACATGCACAAACCCAACATATCCTCAGCCTCTTCCGGGCCAACTCACCACAAAAGCCATCTACACAACTGAAGGAGAAGGTGGGGAGAAGCGGGACACTGAGGGACAAGATGGACACCCGCTTGGGGGCAAGACTAAGAGGGACTTCCAGAGCCCTCCCGCCCCGGTCCATGTGCTTCTGAGCCAGCACCGTCCAGGCCGAGAGGCTGGTGGTCAGCGCAGTGAGGAACAGGAGGCCATGCTGCACCCATGGCGCTTCCATTCTTGCCTCCCCGACCCCCATCTAGGGAGGGGGTGCTGGGGCCTCCTTGGAGCCGAGCAGCTCAGTGGCCACTGCACCTCCTGCTCTGGGGATGACCTCTGGAGAAGGGAGGTGGAGCCCTTCCCCTCTGGAGACCACAGGGTGTGGGAGGGCACCCTGGCACAGGTACCCCTGCCAGGTAAGCTCACTTCAGAGGCCCAGCCTCCAGGCAGCCCCTGCTCCCTTCCCACCCCACCTCCAGCAGGCAGGGAGGCATCCTCCAGCCCAGGCAGCACCCAGTTCTCTGTTGCGCCTTCCTGCCCAGCAGACCAGCGCTGGTGTGGGAGAATCTGTAACCAGCAAGCGAGGCCCCACCGCCACCTCTCAGGCTGCAACTGCTGGGGGACAGAACACAGCTGAAGGAGATGTGGTGTATATCCCCAACCCCTGGACTCTAACTGTCTCTGTCCTTTTCATTGTGAACAGTGCTGGGGTCTGAAGCCACGGGTGCTGGATGACAGCCCCAGTCCTTTTGACTTTTCTTTATTTTGACACAAGGCCTCACTATGTTGCTTCAAGTTCTACCTGAGTGCAGGTAGAACAAAGGCTGGGAGCGGGGAGAAGGCAGTCTCACCTGTCCTCCCACCAGCAAAGAGGAACAAGGTACCGGGGTGGGGGCCACCACCCTCCAGACCCTTCAACTGCCTCAGCCCCTGGGTAGCTAGGATTACAGGCATATGCACCTTGCCTGGAAGGATCTATTTTCTGAGTCTGAGAAAGACCAGAAGGACCGGGGCTGCTGGGGGTGGGGAGGTTGGACCACGCTCAGCTCCACACCAGCCAACCCTAGAGGACCTCACCTCCACCTCAAAGTCCACACTTCCAGCCCGAGGGAAGTCAGTGGGAGGCGCACATGCCCCTACAAACGCAGTCCTGGGGGAAGGTGGAGAAGCAACAAAGCCAGGGTAGAACACCTAGCTCCTACTCTTCCCAGCTTGGACAACCCGGGAAGAAGGCGCCCCAGGGGGTGTCCCTGCAGGACACGTGGGCACAACAGGAACTGGAGGAAAACAATTCCAACTTGAAATGTGACGCCCAGCACTGCCCTGGGTCCAGTGCTTCCCATGCAGGCTGCCCCAGCACTCTGCCCGCAGCAGGCCAGGCCGTGTCCCCACCCTCACCGGCACGGGGGCAGGCGCACCCTGAAGGAAGGTGTCCGGCTGCTCAGGTACCCCCACACGGGGCTGTGCGTCTGGAGGGTCGTGGCCCCCACCCCGGTACCTTGTTCCTCTTTGCGGGTGGGAGGACAGGTGAGACTGCCTTCTCCCGCTCCCAGCCGGTCACACTAGGCCTTTGTTCTACCTGCACACACCGGCAGGCTGGGCCCACCCCTTTCCTGGCAGCTCCTCCCACCCCCGCCCGCCTGCAGGCAGCCCCAAGGGCTGCGGGTAGCCCAGGGGCAGGGAGAGGGACCTCGCTTCTCCAGTTCCACTTTGGCGCTGAGGGGCGCGGGGAAGCGAACCCCCCAGGTGCGCCCCTCTGGAACCCTGCCCAAAGACCCAAGGGGCTCCGAGCGGCCAGCCTGGACCCAAGACCCTGGTGGGGCGGCAGGCGGTGATCGGGAGGGGGAAGTCCGGACACTGTGCAACTAGGCCGGCAGGGGACAGACCCAGAGGAGGCCGAGGGAGGTCAGAGGGCAGCGGTGGCAGCTGCGGAGCCGCCGAGTGGGGCCGTGGGGGCACAGGGACGGCGCGCTCACCTGGGCGTGCGCAGCGCGGCGGGGTCGCGGCGGTCCAGCACGCCGGGCACGCAGTTGGTGAGTTCGGTCCAGTCGGCGTGCAGCCCGCAGCTCCAGCCCGTGGAGAAGCGGGAGAAGAGCCAGGTCTCGCGGCGGTTGGGCCGGTAGCAGGTGCACTTCTTCTGGCCGGGCCGGCAGTCGCAGGGCACCTCCAGGCGCACGTTCTGCACGAGGTGGCGGCCGAAGGTGGTGCCGCCCGTCTTCTGGATGTGCAAGAAGACGATCACATCGTCGCCCTTCATATCGAAGCGCAGCGAGCGCTCCAGCTCGCGCACCGGGAAGTAGTACTTCTTCTCGTAGTGCGGGTCGGGCGTGGGGAACAGGTCCAGGTCGTCGGGAGGCGCGCGGCCGCCGGGCGCGCCCAGGCTCAGCCCCGGGCCCGCGTACTGGTACAGGATGAGCATGAAGCACGCCGAGCCCGCCACCACCAGCAGGAACTTGCTGGCGCGCTCAACCATGGTCCTGCCGCCGGCGCGCCGCCGCCGCATGTGTCACCATCGCC